GGCTTCATGGTTCACTAAATGTCAGGATGCCCAAAGGGCAATACCTGTCGTCAGGTGGGCCTCAAGGGGTGAATGTGGGCTGAATCTCAAAATAGACTTGCAGCTCAGCACACCTACTCACTTATAAAGAATGAGCAGTAAATATGTGTATGCAAATTCTATTTCTATTAAAGGACACTTAAGGTGTGGTGGAAAAGGAGAATGCTCTTTCTCACCATTCAGACTAGAAGAAGGTCAGGAACTCCGGCCACCTTGTACTCTTCAAAGGGACAGAGCTAGGGTAGCACCTAAAATAACTTTTCCCTCCCACCTACAGCCCTGAGCCTGGAACAGGAAGAAAGTTCTCATATGAAAATAAACTAGCTCAGTCTTCTCTCAACTAGCTTACTTCTCTATATTTTACAAGTTTTATTGTTTTACTAAATTCCTGGGTTTTCAGCTGTCACAATTCAGACAATGCCCCCAAAATGATTTCATATATTGAAAATAAAAATTCTTCATGGGGCCGGCCCCGTGGACAAGTGGTTAAGTTCACACACTCTGCTTTGGCAGCCCAGAGCTCGCCAGTTTGGATCCTGGGCATGGACCTACACACTGCTCGTCAGGCCATGCTGTGGCGGCATCCCCAACAGAAGAACTAAATGACTTACAACTAGGATATACAACTACGTACTGGGGCTCTGGGGAGGAAAAAAAAAGAGGAAGATTGGCAACAGGTTAGCTCAGGGCCAATCTTCCTCACCAAAAAAAAAAAAAAACAAACCCCTCACTGTGTTAATCGGATGTCTTAATGAATGGGCAGCCATCAGCAGGTTCAATATTTCATATATTGCCTACTCATTTCACACTGCCTTTACATAATAAAAATTCTCCTGCTTTAGACAGTAAGAGGTGAGTGAACAACAGCCAAATGCAACTTTCACACTTAATCTACTCTGGTCCTTTAAAACCATTCACGGGACAATGAAACAAAACTTGTATATTATCTACTTTCTCAGGTAAATATTGGTCTTAATAATAAACTGTCTTGTAGATGTATGAAACCTGTTCACTCTCCTATTGATGTTTTACTGGCCATAAGAGCTAAGGCCCTATTCTATTTTAAATTTAACTCTATGAAAATGGGCAGTCCCAAAGAAAATGCTAGCACAATTCCAGATAAAATATACTGTTGTGAGGCTGAAAAGTGCATGCAAAGCAAGCTGCATTATTAGAATGTTTAAATATTAATTATACCACTGTGTAGTAAAGATGATCAAGTATGAGTGTCAACTAATTTTCTAAAAGCTGCAACATTTACTTTCATCTAAACTTCCTTTGTTAAACCAAAACTAAAAGCCCAGCAAGTTTAGTCTACTTGAGTGTGTTTATTTTTATTGGTTTCTGCATAATTTTTTTTCTACCATAAACCAACTTTAACCCCTTTTCTGTAATCTCTGCCAGTATAACTCCAATAGCACATCATAAAATTCCTATAATTCTTCAAAGCCACGGAGTTGGAAAGGAAAGGCTTGGGCATTTTGTAACAAACGCCAGCTACAAGCTTCAGCCAATTACATTTAACTCTTACAAACCTTCTTTCTTGTATGTGTGGATAAACTTATAGATTTATGCTGTGTGGTGACTTTCAATTCCATTGTAAGCATTCTTCAGTCACTTTTGAGTCTGCAGCCAGTTCCATTTCGTGAAGAATATTGTGGCAGAGGTAGAAGCTAGCCCTAATAGCTAAGGAGTCTAGGCTGACAGATGGGGAGACAGATGTACAGAGGCACGTAAAATCAGAGACTTCTTACCTTATGCAGAAGCCTTTGCTGATGGAGATGAGGTGGCCTGAACAGTGGACATTTAAATGAACTCTGGTGACGGAGGAGTTAAGCGGAATCACTGCTACTTTCCCCCTTGTTTCTTTTCCTAGCATCTATTACTCTCTTAGATTCTAAAACGGCTCCTAGAATCAGGCAGGAGAATCACTTTGAGATTCTTAAGAAGAGACAAAGGAAGAGCATGTGTGTGGGGAGAGACGCTCGGGTTTCATCCCGTCACCCATGGATGCCCAGCCAGGGTTTCCCACCTGAGACAGATTGCGACGCATGTTCGGCTCACTCATGCACAAGAAGCAATACACAAGTTCAGTGTAAAGCCACTTTAAAAGCTCATCGGGTGCATACTTTACTTGTACAAAATACCTTATTCATGACGGAGCAGTGAGGGCCTAGGTAATTACTTGAATCAAGGTGGCCTCAGAAGTGTTTAAATCTACAAGGACACTTAGAGCATGAATAATGCAAAATAATTTGCATCTAAATTTTTTAAGTGTTCTTTATTCAAAAACTAAAATGCAGTTCCGATTAAAGTTTGATGAGTGAAAGCTGAGCACTTCATACCCACTGTGAAACGTCTCCTATATGTAGAAATTATTTCAGACAGTGGTGAAGGGACAAAAGAGTTTTTTGGTGTTTTTTTTTTTTTTAATTTAAGTTGGGATTAAGCTGCGTTTGTTTTTGGCCTAACTTTCTTTAGGTTTTGTGGTGGCTACCAAGGTAATTCCTGAGCTTGCTTATCAGAGACAAGTCTAAATTTCAACCCAGCCCCTTAGGAAACAAAATGAAAACACTTACTTTCTTAGAGCCAGCAATTTGCCAAACAAAATAACATTTGAATTGAAAGCTAATGCAATGCAACTTTCTTTTTCTCTCACCTAAAATTTTTATTCAAATTCTTCTTCTTTTTGAATCACTAGACATAAAATGTCTCTGTTACTGCAAAAGATTAGGATACCCCATTTGTTTCCCTATTATATTTATACTGCTGTGTGAATATACATTATTAATACATCACTGGCAAATTTTCAGTGAAAAGCTAAAAGCAGTGTCAACGTTAACCCATATTTTTTTAGGGAAACAAGATTGAAAAGCTGAAAATCAATTAAGAACCCAAAGACAACTCTGTTACAATAACATATCAAATATGTTTATTATTACTTTAGAGTAGCTTTTCTTCATCTAGTTTTCTAAAGTTGAACATTTTGAAGACTATTTCAAAGGAGTGCTATAGTAAGATTGAATTAAAACATTTCTCATTTACAGATGTTTTTGTCAAGGGCTAAAAAAAGGGAAGTAAATCATAATTTTTACCTTTATTTTCCTAAATTTCTACAATCTATTATCACTCGGGCTGCATAACAAGTCCTGGAATTTCCCAATGTTTGCATTTCATCTAATTTGTGAAACCACAATTCTGCCCTTGTTTCCTGGATCCTTTGGCCATGTGGTGGGGAACTCTCCTGGCCCTTCTTTTCTACCTGAGACAAAAATAAAGTTCAATTAGAAATCAGGCCTTTCTGGTCTAGTTCGCAGGCATGCTTCACGGCTGTGTGGAGGGGGCAGCCAGAAGGCAGGTAGGAAAGGCAGTGAAAGAGCTACCAGGCTAGCAGTAGACCTGATCTTCCAGGGGAATTTTTTTCAAGGTAGGCCACTCTGCAATCCACAGCACCTAAACTTTAAGGGCCCTTGCAAAGGGAAATTATTTTCCTGCTGTCGCCCTTATGAAGTATAAAGACTCTCAATTTATTGCATGCTCCAAAGCAGGATTCTAGTTTACTGGAATTTTAGACGAGTGTGTTTGCCACGCTGTTGGTGAGTGGGTATGCTGTCTTTTTTTTTTTTTTAATTTTGAACAATGAAAACATTTTTAAACTCATTGAACAAAGATTTCCCCAGCAACAGACCCCCTGCTCAGCAGGTCACCTATCTTTGCGACAGTTTTTCTTTTCCCACGCTAACCCCGGGGCTCATTTGCATAAGGTCTCTGTTGTGACAATTAGTTTCAGGTGAGCTGATTTCTATGCAGCTAGCCCAAGACGATGCACAAGCCCTGGGCCTCCCTGATCCTGGTCCTAATTGCGACTGACTGGCACCAGACACAATCATCCTCTTGATTCAGCAAATTGTCCTGCTAGTAGCTTGTTGTGACCCCGCAAAGCACAAATCATATCATGTCAGTCCAGCCTAGTAAACAATGAATAAAATAGCCTCTGAATGAGCATAATAATGTCTTTTCCATATTTTAAGCATAGTTGACTAAGTGAATGCAAATGAAAACAATAGTGTTTTAATTTCTTTTTCTTTTGGTTGGGAGTGGTATTGTGGCTCCTCATAAAAACTTTTTAGAAAATGAGAAGTTGCCCCCATATGTAAATTCCATGGCTCAACAGCCCTGTCACCTGGGAGAAAGTCCCCAGGTAAAACAACTGGCTTCTTTCAAATTTCTCTTAGCTTTGTTGTTGTGGAAATAAGTAATATGCTCTTTCATCATCTCTGAAGCTACAGGGTACATCAATATGCACATTAGCAGGGTTCCCAGTAGTCCCTACTAGACAGAAAACCTTTCGGAGCCAATGAAATTTCACATCTCCGCACAGCAACCCAAGTTAAGGAAGAACTTTTCTTAATTCTAGGAAGCAAGGGGGGGAGGGGGGGAGATGAGTGACTTCGCATTAAGAGAATGTTTAAGGACAATAATTGTTCTTGAAATATTGCCTCCTCCTCACTCTGTCTGCAATTCTGAACCTAACTGTATTATGCTACATGTCTTACAAATTCCTTCTGCCCTGATAGTCAGGGATTCTGTCTGCCATCCTGTCATCTTTCTTAGCCACCTACTTGTCATCTCTATTTTCTCTATATGCTAAAGGTGAAAAATAAATAAATAAATAAGAAGTTGAATAAATGTTCCAAAAGCCATTTGGCTATTTTCCCTACTCCTGTAAAATAAGTATTGTCATCACTATGGCATTCTTTTTTCCATTTTTCAGGTTCTTGTAGATAAGCATTTGTTTCTATGATATGAAAGATGTATCTATTCATATCCTGCATAGAACTAAAAAAGTTTTTCAGACATCGCTACTTTCAAGAATTTTTTATCTTATTTCAAACTGGTTTCTAACAAATATAGGATTACTTCTTAGTATTATAACACATTGATTTTGTTTTTCTTTTCAGGCACTTACTGAGGTGAAAATCTTGGAAGGGGGTGAGGGATTATGGAGGGAAACAGAAGAAAGAAGAGAAAGCAAGAGGAAAGAAGGAAAGGAAGAAGGAAAAAGAGATGAGATTAAATTTAGTATCGAAGAGAATTACTTCAGGTTCTTATGAAAAGATTTTTGATTTATGGCAAAGGGATTGTCTACCCACCCTCCAAGCAGCTAATCCTCTGTGTGGCCCTTACTTCCTGTGTTCCCCGGGTTACACAGTCCACTCTTAAGGGTCGCATACTGCACGTGGCTGGAGCACATGGTCCAGGGTGTGACTGGAAGGACATAGTACTAATTTCCTCCTGTTTCGTAGGTCTGTGATGATTTTTAACCCCGTTTTTACAGTGACATGGAAATTATATGACCAAAGGCTTTACATTAATTCAATTAAAGAGGGAGAGTAGAAATAGTTGGGGGGAGAGGAGGCTTCTAAATTCTAGAGCCCCATGGGGTACACTTTTAGACCATTCAGAGCAAGAAAGTATTTGAATCCAGATAAATGAGTATATGGTATCAAGGTAAAGAATTGTTGAAGGATCTACACACTTTGATTATAAAATACAATCTACAAAAAAACCTTTGACACGAGAAATCTGTAAATCAAACTAAAAACTCAAGAGATCTTCAGAACAGGCAATGTAAATTAATATCCACAGTATGTCTTGCCATAAATGTTTGGACACTGGACTTCATACGAATTAGGGATTTATTGAAAGAATAGCTTTAAAAATGGCTATGACATCTGGCCCCATTCTCATACCCTCCTGCAGTGCTCGCATCCTTCAGATAGAGAGAAAACCAGCAGGGTTACCTCACCTTTTGGGAAACTTTAAAAAGTAAAAAAATTGCTCATTCTTGTTAAGCCCCCTTCCCATGTGAATTGGTTATAAGAGTACAATATTGCCAGATGAATATGTGAAATAACGTTGGGTACCCAGTTATGGAAAAGAGAAACCAATAGCGATATGCCTAAATGAATAATTTAAAGACAAAGCCTTCTTCTTACTTTCAATGCTTTTAGCTCCGTAACTTTGATTCGCTGTTTTCTCTTTTCCCCACTTTCTCCTTGTTTATGTTCTCTTTTTGCAGAGCTGAGTCTCTTCCTCTGTCACCTTGGGGGCTCAGTCCCCTCCCAGCACAGCTTGAGGTTCCTCTCTCTTTTTTTCTGCAAGATCCTTCATGAATGGCTTCCTTTGCTACATCACTGCAGTCTGCTGTCGTCCCAGTCATGTCTCTCCTGACTCATTTCATTTTCCACCTCCACTTACCATGGGTTCTCACCTCATTCTACTTTCCACACATGTCTTTTTCCCTTTAATATCATTCCTCTTCCTACCTCTTGAAATCCAAAGATTTCTCTAATTTCTATTCTTTCCTTCTAACCATGTTAATTGCCATTCTTGTAACCCAAACTTGTTGATCCTGTCTTCACAGAGTTTTGTGATTAAAACCTATTTTCCTTTCAGCTTCTGATCCTAAAAACATCCCTTTCTATGTTTCCATATTTACCAGCTTCCCCTCTCCTCAAGTCTGCTCAGATTTCTGGCCTAGAGGTTTTTCTTCCACACTTCCTAATTGTTGCTTCCTCTCAAGCATTTCCCATTTCTCTCCTACCTCTGTCCTAAGAGGTTTCACTTCTTAAATTATTATGCAGTCTTCTTATCTTTTATTTCTCCTTATATTTCTTCTCATCTCTCTATAATCTCTTTTTTTAGTGGTTCTATCTTCCATTTCATTACTTTACAGTTAAACTCTCCACCCTGACCTTATTTTTCCATGGACTTCTATCTGCCTAATTTATGATATATTTTTTTTTGCCCCTTCTCTGTTTGTATCATTATTTCATTGTAAAACTTTAATCTTAAATTATTCCCTACACTATCCATGAGTTGTGTTTTTATACACGTGTTAGCTTCCCTTAATAAAACAATACAGCACTCATTTAAGAATAGCCACCAAACAAGATTCTTCATTCAACTTACAAAACATTGAGATAATTCTGCTTGTTCATGACAGAAAAAAAAAACCCATTGTTTCGGTAAGATATGTATACATCTGTCTATCTATCTACTTAACTGTCTATCTCCTAAGAACCTGGGAACATAGCTGTACTACGGAAAGCCCTGAATGTGAAGTTAGAAGCTGCAGGTTTGAATCCTGGTTCTTTCACATATTAAGTAAGTAAGTAGGCCAATTTTCCAGTAGTTATCCAATTTTTCCGAGTCTCAGACTCCTTGTTTGTGTTAAATACCTTCTCTGTCTACCTCCTAGAATTACTGTGAAGATCAAATGAGATATTTCTGCTAAAGCACTTTGTACAATATTAAACATTCTATAACCATTAGTTACAACTGTTATCCTTTGTGTTCAAACTGGACACATCTGGAAACAGGGTTTATAAAAGTATGACTTTCTAAATCAATGTAATTTCTTTACTGTTGAAGAAGACCAAACAGATCCTAGGCCAACACAATTTGCTTGCAATTATGTGAACAGAAAAAGTTCATGAACCCAATATTCAAATAGAAGATTGAAAATATTAGTTTAGTGGGAGATATAAGAAAATGGTATGTTAACTGAACGTGTCTATATTATTTGCTTTGGGTTTTAAAGAATCTCTTTTGGGATAATTTAGAAAACACTTATATAGCTTGCTGGGTAGATAACAATCAGAGGCCAAAACTTTCCTATGACTACCTTAAATGCCACCTTTACTAAGCTCTACCTGCCTCCCATCATCAGATTTCAAAGTAAGTATTTGTTCCAAATGGGGCTAATTTATTTGACCTAAGATATTTCCACCCTTTATATGATGCTTCTTGTATGGACAAATACCTTACTATTCTGCTGTGGATGGAGAAACCATCGTACAGGAATTCAGCATATTTTGTGTAGTGAAGCACATCAGATTTGGAATTTCAGAACTCAAGGTGGGAAGGAACCTTGGAAGGATGAGGGCCACATAGTCAAATGTCTACTCTGACCAAGCAGGTGAGGGAGGTTGGCTGATCCTTCTAATGGGGATCCAGAGTAATTCCCTCAGGGTCTTTCTACACAGCTGTGTGAACCAGAGACGTCAGGTCTTCTGAGTTCTCCAGAGGAGCTACAAATCTGGACTTTTGAGTGAAATTGTCCAATTGTTAAACACTGGCAACCAATTCAAATGTGTTTAAAATACTTTGTGAGCCAAACCAAACACATCTGCCAGCCACCAGTTTGCAACCTCTGTCCAATCCCTACATTTTACAACTAGGGACATGGGCCCAGAGAGGTTAAGAGATGTTCCATGGCCATGCTGAGATTGGATGGGGGGTTGGGAGGGCCAGAAGTCTGAGTTCCCTGAACCAAGGGCAGGACTCCTTTCGTTATACCAGGTTGTGATCCCAGAACTCCACAGATCAATTGGCTTGCTGGAATGGAAACTAGTAGAAGACATGTGGCCTAATCAGGAATGGCTCCTTCTGTTCTTCTCCCACCTCAAACTCCTCCTGATTGCCATTGCTACTGCTTGCAAAGCTAAATGTGGCAAAGGTAGATACTGACAAGGGGGCCAGGAGCGTAGGCCTTGCAATTCCCTCCTGGCAACTCTCCTATCATCTCCTCCACAGACTCTCTACCACTGACTCTTTCTTCTCACCACCCTCCCTATCATGCCAAGATAGGCTTACCTTTGGAATGGGACTGGAGTGAGCACCCACTTAATGCCAGGCTAATGTCAATACAGGTGAAGCACTTTCTGAGCTCTCTGCGCAGCCTACACAGGAACTGTGAAAATACCTTGCCTAAAAAGCAACAGTCCAATCTTTCTAAAAATGATGGAAACAGCAAAACCAGAGTCTTGAGTTTAGAACCCGTGGCTCGATAGTCCAATAACTCACTTCATAGGCACACTGGATTTTGATTCTAGCCCATTTCGCTCTTGGCATATACAACTGTAACCTGACACTTCAGAGTAGAGAATCATTTAGCCTAAAAATAAGACATCATCTCAGACTGGATCTTGGGAGAAAACTATTAACAACGACGACAAAAGAATTAACATTCAAGACAGCACCCTGTCCCTGATTTGTAGTCAGAAGACTGGGGTTCGAATCTTGGTTCTGCCAACTCTGTTTCAATGTCTACCCAATGCGGGAAACCTACGGGTGAGAATAGTTGAATTCTCTGGTTTCTTCTAAGTTCTATAAATATATGAATGCTTTCTAGGGAAAATATTTTGGAAAATTAAATATAAATGTCAGATTATGCAACGATTTTAAAATAGAAAAGGATGTATAGATAAATGCCAATTAGTATTATCATTTAATTTCAAATATTTGAAAACTGGGTTGGGCATTTTCAGAACCAAATAATCTGCTAGGATCGTATTGGTTGTTTTTTTGAAATAGATTTGGACTATATGAATATGTATCCTCACTTACCTATGCCAGTGTTTGGATAAATGGAAAAAATTTAAATACTTAGAAGTTTTATCATGTAAACTGTTCAAGAAACCATAAAATCAGTTATCTAACACTGCCTTTCTCTCTTCTCTCTTTCTTCTTAGCTTAAGAAAGTAAAAAGAAATCACTTTAAATCCTCCCCCCCACGAAGGAAAAAAATATTTTTGAGTCACTGTTATTTTCTAGAACCTCTGAGTTTTTTAGGCTTTAATTTGTCTTATATCCTCACTGACATGTATCTTTGCCTTATAATGTAAGTGTCATTCTAGACGATCCTAGAAATCTGACTGTGAAGTTCGAGGTACCCTACCCGAGTTTACAAAACCTTTATAGGTGGCTCAAAAGGACTCTTGGAAAAAAAAACCCATGAACACAAACAATTAAAAAACCCTCTTCTTGAAAAGGTTCCTTTATTGTATTTATATCTCTCCTCTGACTAAACCTTTCACACTGACCACAAAAATGTAGATTTTTACCTTTTTTGGATCTACATGAAAAACAGGCATTTCAATAAGCATGGAGAAAGAAAATGTCAAATAAGATACTAAAAGTGTTTTTTGGAAGAAAGAATATAATGTATTTTTCTCAGTTGCATTTTTATAAAATAAGAGAATGGTCTTTCAAGTGGAACTCCGCAATTAATTTTATCCACTCATTTCC